TGCTAGACTCACTTCCTTCATCCGTCGGATCTTGAATCCTTTCTCCTTCCACAAAATATTCTCCAGCTCCTCTGCTTTTGAGGTCAACAACGGGATCAACCACAAGGAACGCGAAGCACCCTCGCTCAAGTTGTCTCCTCTCCTCCCACAGTCATTGCACGCTTCATCCTGGAGCATCCAACATCAGATATACACACACAACAGATGCACAACTGCAGCCATCTTACAGCTGAGTTATACTCGTCCTCTGAGCAATCCTCATGAGACGTCTTGGCTGCCGCAGGGGAGTGAGACGGCCCCAGTCCAAACTGCTTCCTCTCGATGGTCGACGTATCCCTCCAGTTTTCATGTGAAACAACGCCCGCCAGTTCTTTCTCGTCCTCTCTTGCCTCATGGCCACACATTTCACTGAGTTCTCCATAGCTCCTTGCTGGGGCGATGAAACTTGTCGTGTCATCCCCTGGAGCGCCCAACGTTGAGTTCTCGAATACATTGTGCCTGTTTCCCTCATGCACATTGGTGGAGGAGGAGGAAGGCAAGCTTCCAAGAACGGGGGCCCAACTCGAGGAAAGTTCCCACTGGGGGCAGGGGAAAAATTTGGTGAGCCCGCCTCGTCATGGTGGGCTGCAAGGATCCCACGGGGAGGAATGGAGCAGGAGGGAGAGAGGGAGGGAGGAAGGGAGGGAGGGAGGGAGGGATCGCATTGCCGAAGAACATCTCCGTTGCGACGAGAGCTCTGCTGATGACGTCGAGCTCGGGAGGGCGTGCGCTCGTGGACTCGATCGCTCCATTGTGATGCGCCCTGTCCTGCTGCTGACCCTGGTGGTGGCGGTAAGAGCCGGGCAGCTCAGGAGAGCCGACATGGTCTGACGGGTTCTGTTGCAGGCATGCCCGTCGCTCACCCATGAGCATCTCCCGCTCTCCTCCCCTCTCGTCCTCCACCAGGACTGTGTCCCTTGCAACATCCTCCGCAGCTTTCAGGTTGCGCTGGAAGGGCTCAGGGAGAGCGCTGGGGGCCGCGGGAGCATGCGACCGGCTCTGAGAACCCTCAAGTCTTGCTGTGGAGACACGCTCGAGAGGAAGTTTCCTCTGAGAGGACTGTGGGAGGACGCGGAATCACGGCCTGGAGAGGAGGAGGACCCTAGCGGGGAGATCGGAGCTGTATGGAACGAGAGCTCTTTGAGAAGAGAAATCTTGACGTCTCGAACACCTCTGTATGGATACCTTCTTGCTGCATCCAAAGTTGTTGGGGAGATCCTCCAGTTTCGCAAGCTCGTTGCCTTCAACGTGTCGAAGACAACAATCTTGGAGGACCTTGTCGACTCGTTGACACGTTATGCGATGAACATGTTAGAGAGGACAATCAACTGTTGCGTTAGCTGATGTGCTGGTTGCAGGGACGAGGGAGAAGGAAGCATGAAGAAGAGAGTCGAAAAGTCGAGATGGAACAAACTTCTCCGTGCGCCATCCAGGGCATTGAATGACAAGACAGATACTGATGTCATCGAAACTCTGTTGAGCATTTGCAGAGAACAGTTGCAAGCAGCAGAGAAAGAAGATCATAGTTGTCATAATACCTATCTGATGAAAGATCAACTGCGAAGAAGAACAAGATCTTTCAAGGTAGGACCATTCAACTCGTTCGATGAGTGTCTAATACGATGGGCAGGCCATGGTTTGTCTCTTGCTTGCTTCAAACTTTTTCTCAACTCATTCTTCTGGTGTTCTGACCTGAATTTTGTTGTGAGTGTTGTGATGTACTTGCCAGACTTCGATGTGTTGAGCGCACAATACTTCAACATGGCGGCAAAGGTGGCAGATTGTTGAACCTGTTGTTGCTGATACTGTATTTCAGCTTGTTGTCCGTCATGACGTCGATTTTGGATGGATGGCGAATCTATTTAAGAATTGTGAATCTATCATTGTGGATTTTGAAATCTCTGACTTCATCGGATCAAAACTCTTGCAAAATTCGTCGAGGTGAGGAGGATTTAAAGTGGCTATGATGACGATTACGATGATGATGATGATGATGAAGTCGATGATTGCGATGGTGGTGGTGGTGGTGGTGGTGGTGGTGGTGAAGCTGATGATGATGATGATGATGATGATGATGGTGAAGCTGATACTGATGATGATGATGATGATTGCGATGGTGGTGGTGGTGGTGGTGAAGCGGTGATGGTGATGGTGATGGTGATGATGGTGATGGTGATGGTGATGGTGATGGTGATGGTGATGGTGATGGTGATGGTGATGTCATACGTTTCCCTTCAAAATTGTCTGGGCACTGTTGGTATCCATTCTGAGTCTTTCAATCAGTTGCGCGAGAGCTTTACACACTCTCATCTCAAACACAAGATATGTTGATTGGACTAAGATGCTATACAACAACATTCTCAATATGACTGCTCATTGTCTGCACGACCGAGATCTCCCTTTCCTCTCTGATTTGGGGAAAATCTTATCTGCAATGGAGGCCTCGACTAGGGAGCAAGATACGTTGATGTATGTTCTTGTATGTGTGTGGCTCCTTCGGGTCGTCTTACAAATTTTCGTCTTTCCAGCTCCATCCTGACCGAGTCGACAAGACTTCTCAAGGACCAGAGCATGACAGAGGGCCGTCTTGCTACGATTATCAACTTCCTGACGGCAGTCTCACATCACCTAGATCCGTTGAAGGCATCTGACGTCATGGAGGAGCTGCGGATGGCGATAGCAGGGCGAGTTTCATGCCAGGGCTCTTTGACGTCTTCCTCCTTCTCGCTGCTCATTTCCCTCTCTTACCTCGGGCAGAAGTTCCTCGTCCCGCCTTCAGCTCCTCAGCTCATGTCCCGCTACCCCTCGCTGGCGTCCACCGTCTCTCCACTCCAGCTCCCGCTGCAGAGCTGGAGGAGTCAGAGCAGGGCTTGTCTTCGAGCATGGAAGCGAGCGATCGCCGGGGGCTGCCCCCCTCCTGTGCAGCTGGTGGAGATCTTTTCCAATCTGATAGCTAGTATGAAAGAGCCAGGGAGCAGACCATGGGATATGACCCGGAAGAATTTCATTCAGCTTTCCTCCTCATCCTCCTTCTCTATTCGCTCAGCTGCACCCGCTGGGCCCATGGAGCAAACTTGTCACTTCGTGCTTGCAACTAACATCCTCGTCCGAGCCGCCTGCTTCCTGGACCATCGCTCTCGTCATCGACGTCCTTTCAATCGTTTCGCCACCGCCGAGACATGCCGGGCTGACTTCTTGGCGCAGAAAGTTCTTTCTGACGGTAGGAAGTTGACGCTGCTGTTGACATGCGGCAGGGACTTATCGTGTGTTGAAACAGAGCTTGATCTGGGAATTACTCGTTTGCTCCTTTGTGAGGCGGTTGAGAAAGTGATTGACTTGTACGTCGACTCTCCTCAGGATAGCTTCTTTGAAGGAGAGACTGATAGCAGGTGGAGATGTTGGATGATGTTGTTGTGTATGGTGTCGATGTTTTGACGTTGATGTTGATGTTGACGGTGACGGTGACGACGATGATGACTTAGATGAGGATTGAGATGATGCATTAATATGATGGTGACGATGATGACGTTTGACGCACTGACAGGGTTGAGTCAAGGATTGAGGTCATGTCAGAAGCTGTCTGCATGCTTGAGCACATCGTTCAGACAAGCATTCATGACGTGGATTGGAAGAAGCATGTCAATCCTCTCCAACGAGGTGTGATGGTGAGTGTCGACTGAAGTGAATGATGCTTGTTGTTTTGCTTCCGTCTTCTGATTTCTTCTTGATCCAAACTTGACAGGCGATGGTGAAGTTGGCACTGGAGAGTAGTGATTGGCGTGTACGGATGAAAGTGTACAAGGCGTTCGAGCTGCTGTCGAAGTCAGTGCTGAGGAAGGAAAATTCAAATCTGCCGCGAAACAAGGAGACGGCAACAAGAAACGACATGTCGGAAGAGTCGGGCAGTGACTCGAGCATGTCTGAGATCGTGAGCGCAAGTGACGACTTTGAAAAGGACGGGATTGCAACCAAGGGAGTCGACCCAGCAGTGCAGGAGGAAGGAGACTTGAGGGATCAGGAAGAGCTACAGTCCAGCTTCATGAGCTGGGTGCTGGAAGGTGTTTGCTCAGTGATGAAGAAGGGAATGACGATGTACAAGGGTGTTGCAGTGAGACGAGTTCTATCGACTCTCAACCCAATCTTGGTTGAACACGTAGTGTTGGATGATAAGAACTTGGACGAATGTGCGATGAAGATGATCATGTTGAATTTTTTCCCCTCTCTTCAAGTATCTGGAGTGAAAAGGAAAAGGCTCTGCAAGAAAGTTTTGGAGGAGATGAAAGCCAGGCACTTTGACGTCTCGGACTTGTTCGTTCTTGTGAAGAAGATGCTCTCCGAGGATGATGGTGATCAAAATATCTTTGCTCTTCGATCGCTAAACTTTGAAATGCAGAAATCATCTCGATCAGCGCTCTCAACTTCTTGCGAGTCGTGTCGCAATTCATCGAAGGAGAAGAAACGATGGTCGACATGTTGCAACAAGCTCTTCATGTCATAAAACATGACACGGATGCGAGGGTACAACAAATGTTGGAGCTCGTGGGATGCTTTTCACATCTCTTCACCAAGTTCAACCTGCGCCTGTACTCTGAATTTGTCATCCTCCTCCTTTCTCGCCCTGAGAGGAATTTCTTCAAGACATTCTTCGACAGCTCCCTGGGTATGACAGGAAATATTCTCGACAGCTACGAGACGTATGTGCTTGAGCGAGCTTTCTTTGATTTGCAGATCAGAACGTCGAAAGATTCAAAGGAAGTCTACTTTGCAAGCTTATCAGAAGAGCAGATCGAGCATGTCAGCAAAGTTGTATCTCACACTCTTACACAACTTGATGCAGACGTGGTCTCGTTGTGGACATACACTCTGCTAGTTCCCATCGCAACCGCCTGTATCACTGACTGGAACCCGATGGTGAAAGACCTTCTGATCGCAACGTCGTTGGGGATGCGCGGTAAAAGGCATCTTGGAGAGTTGTTCTATGAGCTCGGGGGATATCACAAGGTCATTAGCTGCATGGAGGTAGAGGACAGTCTGTACAGGACAAGTTGCTCCCTTCTTGAGCAGGTGCTGTCAAGTTTTGACTGCAACGATGTCAATGCGGATGTCACTCTGTTGACTTCTGCAGTCTTCATGGGAAAGCCTACGACTCGGAGAATGTCGTTGGAGTTGTTGTGGGGCGGTTTGCAGGACGGGAGAGTTTCAATGTCAGACGGATCGTACCTGCTTCTGTTTGTTGCAAAGTTTGACGAAGACCCGTCGGTTGCTGATGTTGCTGAACAAGTTTGGAACAAGTTAGATGCTGGCAAGAACGATCATCTCTTGCAAGAAAGCAACTTGGACATCTTGTTGAAATCCTCATCAGACAATCGTGCTCATTGCCGTCTTGCCTTCTCGAGGGCTCTCGGATCCCTTGCATTTCATCTACTCGAGAACAAGATACTGCAAACAAATCGTTTTCACCATCTGTGCAAGGAAATGATGGAGAAATATCTCAAGAACAAGGCGATCGTGGAAGACATTCCGCAAGCTCCCAAGGAGAAGATCATGTTGCCTCCTAAGATGAACGCACCGAAGATGCCGAATCTGCCTTTCCTGAGGACGCCCGATCAAGACAAGTTTGCAAAGCCCGTAGATCTCAGCATCCTGTCGTCCAAGAAGAAGAAAAAAGAAGTTCAAGATGATCACTGGCACATCCGAGAGAGCTGCGCCTTGTTCTACGATGAGTGGACACAACTTGCTTCATCATCCTTGTCATCAGCTTCCCCGTCGTTGTTGTCGTCGTCATCAACCTCCTCCTTCTCCTCCTCCTCCTCCTCCTCCGCTCGTCTTGTCATCACGGACTCCTTCAACTTTCTGCTCCAGCATGTTCTTCTTGACAATCAGCGTCACATCCGAAGCCTTGGCAGGAGGAGCGCGAGAAACGCCGCCAAGTCCCTGCTGAGCGCGCAAGAAAGCTCAGCTGACAGGTCAGCTGTCATTGACGACATGATGAGAATGCTCGAGAGCCGCCTGGTGTCCCTCAAACAGGAGGCTGAAACCGACCAAGGAGTGCTACAGGACATCGAAGAAGCTCAGATTGATATCTTCGGGGACGTAGCCAACTCGCTGTCCCCTGAGGACACGAGGTTGGAGTCTGTTGCCCGACGGGTGCTGAAGGGAGTCTCGACCAGTCTGGAGCACTGCAAGGATTGGAGGACAGGCGCTAGCCTTGCCCTCTCCCTCTCCTCCATCTCCAACTTCCTCCTCAAGTTCTCAGCGGAGAGCAAGGCGCCCAAGGAGGATGAGTTTCCCAGCGGTCTTGAGATGATCCTGGCATTCTCGAAGCAAGCTGAGAAGGAGGAAGAGGAGGAGGCGATGAAGACAAGGGACGAGCTTGTCGGAGCCCTCCTCGTGGCTGAGGACGAGGACAAGCAGAGGAGTGCAGCGCTCTGCATCGCTGGGATCATGAAGGGCATGCAGCCTGCCCTGCTACACAGGTGGAGGATGGAGAAGCTGATCAGCGAGTGGCTCCAGGACTCGCACATGTCTACAAAGATACGATCCCTCGCGCTCTTCTCTGCTCTTCTCCTTGTACTCGGCAAGAGGTTCGAGCCCTTTGCTCTCCCTATCGTTCAGCACGTCCTCCTTGACTACGCCGACATGAGCAAAGGAGGTGAGAACGGGCCCTTGCGCTCTTTGATAACATGACAGCTACCCTATAGCTCCTTGTCTTGCCTCTCCTCTATCTCCTTCCTCCTCCGCTTCCTCCTCCCGGCCCTTTTCCTCTCTTCTCCTCGTCCATTTCTTCCCTCTCATTGTTCTCTCCTGCCTCTTTCGCAAGGTGTTCACCCGTCCACGTTCTCCTCTCCTCTCCTCTCCTCTCCTCTCCTCTCCTCTCCTCTCCTCTCCTCTCCTCAGCATCCCCATTCTCTTTCCTCCTGCTTCTGCTAACCCCCTCCACATCTCATCTCTCCACCTTCTCCTGTACATATCGATAATTTTCTACACTATATCCCCTGCTGAAACTCTTGTCCGTCCTCTAACTCGGACTTGGTTTTCGATCTCACTTCTTCTTGCAGCAAGAAAAGCAGCGTTGGAGGCGTCGGACATTTTCTCAACATGCATCTCCGGCAGCTCTGCGAAGATCTTGACACCCGTATGTAACCTATCGAAATAATCTACAGGAGTTCTCACGTCAACTTGCAGTGGCTGTTGGAGAAAATCAAGGACCAGGCTGTTCACTGGCGAAGCAAATGTGCGATGATTGAGCTCCTTGCTAACATCGTGAAGAGGTGAAGTTGTGTTGGGACTTGTTCGAGTATGGTAGAGGATCTTGGGAGGATCTTGAATGTATTATCATTGCATCTTTCCCACCAGATGTTGCAATCAGTCTCATTCCGCTGTTTCACCTCTCGCATGACTCTCGTTGTTGCTCTCGCAGGTGCTCGCGGCATCTCACGTCGTTGATGTTTGACATCTGTAACAACCTCTTCTCCCTCATCTCCGACGGACATCCTGAAGTTGCTCAGCTCGCCGAGCACGCCATGCTCAACATCTCTTCCCTCCTCCGGAACAGCGAGATGCGCGTGCTTGCTCCTTCAATCATCACCTCACAGAAAGCCGTTCACTCCTCCTCCTCCTCCTCCTCCTCTTCCTCAGACGTGCTCTTGTCTCTTCTCAGCCTTGAAATTCCCTCCTCTCTCGACGAAGCCTCCCTCTCCCTCCTACTCCTCCCTGTCTCCCGCGCCGTAAGGGAGCTCGACGCGGGGAGCAGGAGGTGTGCGGTAGCGCTGGCAGGGGCGCTACTAACGAAGACTCGGAGGTCAACCCTGACAGGGATGGACAGGGAGATGAAGAGAATGATCTTTGAGGCGAGCACGGACTACGACCCGTCTGTCAGGGAAGTCGCCTGCCTTGCGGTCGCCAGGAGTCTCTTGGACGAGCGGCTGGAGCCGGACCTCATGACAGATCAGCTGTTCGAGCGCCTGCTCGAGGGGAACCTGTTGGAGAGGAGCGGAGCTGCTGCTAGCCTGGCGCTGGCGATGAAGGAGATGCAGGAGGAGGAGCTCAGGCGCATGCTGGGACGGGCGGAGCTCGTTGCCAGCGCGAAGTTCGTGGAGGTTCCTCCTGCTGACGGAGGTAGGCTCAAGCTGATCGACGAGTTGCTGGTGCACTTGGAGGGAGGAGGGAGGAGGAAGGTGGTGGAAGACTTCATGAAGATATCGATAGCGACCTTGCGCGCAGAGGAGCAGGCGATGAGGGAGGCGGCGGTACAGACGTCGCTTGCCATCTTCAAGGACTCCTTCCAAGTCGCGGTGGCGCAGCGGCAATGGAGGGAGTTGAACTTGTTCTTCGACTGTGTGGCTAAGAATCTGGTCGAGTTCGATCTCAGTGCACGTGCGGAGGCAGCAACAATGCAGCTGCTAAGTCTCTGCATCTCCCACGTGAAACAGTCAGCGGAGACGGAGCAAGAGGTGCCCAGCAAGACTGCAAGGCTGCATGTCAGTACTGAGAGTACGATGCTGAACAACTTGGACGAGAAAGTCAAAGACGATCTTATGGTCGAGACGTTTGTCCTCCAGCACGACAGCAACGATGATGTCAGGACAAGGGCCAACACAGTCTGGAGGTCCTTTGCTTCCAGCTCTGTGCACACCGTCTTCCGGCTTGTGGGAAGAATCACTGACCGCATCGTCTTCTTGCTCGCAAGGGACCGAGAGACGCGCGAGAAGGAGCTGCGGGATGACGATGATGGCGATGAAGATGCAACGGTGCTGGTCAGTGCCAAGAGGGAGCGATGCCTGGCAGCTGTGAATGAGATCACATGTCGTTTTGCGAACCGTGAAAACAACCTTGCAGGAGACGAGATGTTCTTGAAGGTCGTCAAGCATGTGAGAGCTCTGGACCAATCACCTGGCATCTCAACGAGGGAGAAACTTTCAGTGATGGAGGTCACCAGAGCGATCGCGGAGGGAGCACATCGCGCGCAGCTTGAGGTCTTGATCTCGCACATGAAGGAAGCGATCGCTGCCAACATAGAGCAGCGACAAGAGCGGGTCAGGATGGAGTGCGTTTCCCTCATCAAGACGCTGGAGTCTAAGAAGATGGTAATTGCCAAGATAGTCGTCACAAACCTCCTCCACAAAATCTTCCTGGATCATCATGAGAAAGCGGGTTATGAGTCACCTGAAGAAGCGGAGCAGGAGCAGGAGTACCAAGAGAAGCAGGAGCAAGAGCAGGAGCAAGAGCAGGAGCAGGAGCAGGAGCAGGAGCAGGAGCAGGAGCAGGACGACGAAGAAAGCAGTCTGATCGATGAAATGATTGGCCATCACATCCGACAAGACATTTGCGCATCTTCTTCATATCGCAACTTCATGTATCTGGCGTCCAACGCCCCTGAGGTGACCTTGCCTCTCTTCTTCTTGGAGATTGGAAACTTCCTCTCCTCTTCTTCTTCGTCCAATCACCTCAAGGTTCTGTTTCTCGTGCACGAGACGATTCAGGCTTCGCGGTCTTTCCTCGTCGACCACATGCTGGTTGTCTTCGACGGCCTTCAGCGACTGTTCGAGATCGTCAGCCGACACGGGAATGTGGAGGAGCAGGAAGCGCAGAGGATGACGAAGATTGCCAGTCACATGTCAGTCACGTTTGCTGAGCTGCTCATGTGCGGCGACCCACAGGTCACCTCGAGCTCGAGTGAGATGTTGGAGCAAAGTATCTCCCTGCTGGAGGAGGAGCAGGAGGTGACCTGAGGGTTGTGGACTCCTTGTGCTGACCTCCCCGTCAGGACATGAAAGTCTTGCTCGCCCTTGCCATCTTTGACAACCTTGCTCCCCTTGCCGCGAGCTCGCAAAAACTCTCCGGCGCAATGTGACCAGCCTCGCACGCTGCCCTGTCCTCTCATGCTGTCCAAGTAACTTCCATGTCTGCAGGAAACTGAAGCGAATCTTCTCCAACGTCGTCAAGCTCCTCTACCGCAAGGACGCGACCGTCGCCGTTGCAGCTGAGAAGACTCTCATGACGCTCAGGCCGCACGTTGCTCAGAGTTTGCACCATGTGACAAGCCTGATCGTCCACGAAGTGTGGGAGGCGAAGGAACAAAACAAGTGAGGAGGAGGAGGAGGAGGAGGAGGAGGAGGAGGAGGGAGGCTTGCAGACTGATTCTTTCGCAGCAACCAGCTCTCTCCCTCTTCCATCATTGCCATCTCCTCCTTCCCCATGGCAATCCTGCTGCGACCTGCTCAGGAAGAGGAAGACAGAGAAAATTTCGAGAAAGAGGAGGCGGCCAAATGGATCCTGTTGTTGATGCGACAGGTCTCTACTCCTCCCGCTCCCTCTTTCCTCTCTTCTCATCACAATCTTTCAGTTCTCTCCAGATCAACTTCGGCAAGCAGCCTCCAAATGCACAGCCACTCTCATCAGATCATACTCGGATCGCATGTTAACAGCCACAAAGGTTCGTCTCCTGCCTGTTCCTCCTCCTCCTCTGTGTTCTCCTCCTCCACCACCACCACCTTCTCCTCCTTGTTCTCCTCCTCCTTGTTCTCCTCCTCCTCCTCTTCCTCCTCCACCTCCTCCACCTCCACCGCCGCCGCCGCCGCCGCCGCCGCTTCCTCCTCCGCTTCCTCCTCCTCTTCCTCCTCTTTTTGCTGCCTCTGATCCATCCCCTTTCCCCTTCTGCCTCCTTTTTCTCCTTCATCTACTCCCTAAGCTATCACTCAACTTGCTTTGCTCAGGTTGCAATCTTGGACTCTCTTTCTTACCTCCTCTCTCCCGCTCACACAAAATCCATCAAGGTATATATCGTCTATTTTCTCAGCTTTCCTCACCTCATTTTCTCAGCTCTTCTTCCCCCAACTGCAAGTCATCCTCCTCCGCGCCATCCTCGATCAAGAATCTGAGGTGACGACCTTCTCCTCCTCCATCCAAACTTCCTCTCTTCCTGCTCTGCCCTGTCTTTTCCTCCTCCTCCTCCTCCTTTGCCCTCTCCCTCCATCCGAGCTTCTACTTCTCCTCTACTCAAAACTCCTTCACCTGTATGTGCTTCCTCCCAGCCATCACCGCGCTCCTCCTCTCCCCATCCTCCTGCTCCTCTTACCCCATCCTGCCCTTCCTCCTTCTCCTGCTCTTGCCTGTCGCTCTTCAACTCTCACTCCACTCCCTTGCTCGCCTGTAGGTGAAGGAGGCAGTAACAAAGGCGCTCGAGCGTCTAGTCATCCTCCTCCCGCAGCCTCTCGGGCTACTTGAGGATCTTCTCCAGCTCCTCGACAGGACCGCACAAAGAAACGACAAACTTGAGCTCCTGCGATGCATCGGCAGAATAGTACGAGCAGGAGCAGGAGCAGGAGCAGGAGCAGGAGCAGGAGCAGGAGCAGGAGCAGGAGGAAGAGAAAACGGGAGCCGCTGGGAGGAGCTGAAAGAGGCCTTCATCGGGACTGACATGTCAGAGGAGGAGCGACTGATGGCGCTGGAGCAGCTGGCAAGGAAGAGGGAGAAGGCGTGAGATACCAAACTCTGCCACTTTCATTGAACTTATTCGCGCACTCCTTGCTGAGATCTTCACATAGGAGGAGCACCAGGCGGGGGAGGAGGAGGCATGCCCGGAGGAGGAGGAGGAGGCATGCCCTGCCCGGGAGGTCCTGGCCATCCTGGCGGCGCCATCCCTGCCATGGAATCAGGCAGGAGCGAGGGAGGGAGGGAGGGAGGGAGCGAGGAAGCGAGGGAGGGAGCGAGGAAGCGAGGGAGGAGGAGGAGGAGGAGGATCGAACCTGGGGGACCCTGACCAGGAGGCCTCCATCCTGCAAGAGAGCATCAGGAGAGGGAAGGATGAGCCGGGAACAAATCAGCAGCAACATCGACGATGGAGGAGAATGGAGAAAGAGGAGCAGAGGAGAACAGGAGACAAGGAGACAAGGGGAGGAGGGGGAGGGAAGAGGGAGAGGAGAACGAGAGCAGCAAGCGGAGAGAGGTCGGAGAGGGTGAGAAAGGGCAGGAGCAATGGCGAAGCAGAGGGAGAAGCTGGTAAAATATGACCTGGAGGCTGCTGCCCGCCTTGCCATCCCTGCAAGAAAAACATGAGATGAAGAATGTTTCATCAATTCTCCTCCTCCTCTCCTGATCAGCAGACACGCTTAATTTCTAACCCTCCATAAATCATCCCCATCAGCCACATCCCCTTCTTCTTCTTCATCATCATCACAATCATCACAATCATCATCATCTCCATCGTCGTAGTCGCCGTCGTCGTCATCATCCTCGTCGTCGTCGTCATCATCATCATCATCATCATCATCATCATCATCATCATCATCATCATCATCATCAATGTCTCCTTGGATCTCACCTGAGGAGGAAATCCTTGACCCGGCGGCATTCCTGGCGGCCCACCCCAGCCAGGAGGAGGAGGCGCCTGACTCTGCTGCCAACCTCCTGGTTGCCCCTGCCATCCGCCTAGCAGACAGTTGGTCAGATGGAAGGAGGGTAGGAAGGAGAGTGCAAGGGAGTAAGTCAAGACGACAGATGGGGAGCAGAAGAGGGGAGGACGAGGAGAGGAGCGTGATAGGAGGGCGCGGAAGGGGGAGGATTCTTCAGCAGCAGTCTTGCAGCAGAGCTTACCAGGAGGAGGAGGTACACCCTGACCCCCAGGAGGGGGAGGTGGAAAGTTCCCTGGCGGAGGAGGATACATACCTTGGAGAAGAAATAAACACATTGTAGGGCAACAATCCAAGACGAAGGAAAGGGACGCTGACAGGGAGATACAGAGGAAGGAGGATGGGAACGAAGGGGAGCGGGAGCGGGAGCGGGAGGAAAGCGAGGAGGAGGAGACGGATGCAAGCCGTGCCCTGAGCGTACCTTGTGACGAAGCTCCATCGGGCGGAGGAGGAGGAAACTGAGAGGCGGGGGGAGGAGGAGGGCCGCCTCCAGGAGGAGGAGGAGGAAGGCCAGCCATGGACGGAGGGGGAGGGCCCCCGACCAGCCCTTGATAAGATATTAGCACGCACACGGAGCGAAAGGATCGAATAGACCGGGCG